ACTCTAGAAATTCCCCATATACTCGTCTCCTAACGTTTGACGACAAGCAGTTATTCATCTCCGCCTGATTATGCGTAACTTCGAGCTGTTCTTAAATTCCTGGCAGTGACTGCATCGACAACAGCAAGCCTTTACATGCATTATTCATGTTATTGAACCCTGTTGTAGCTATATTCCACCAACAATGAAGTAACGCCGCAACAGATGAGAAGACAGACAATTTAAAGCCGAACCCAACAAAAAATGAAAACTACTCAAGTTATGACTTGCATAACCAAACTAAGCGGGCAGAACACTTTGCGCAGAATTCAAAAGAAAAGTATACTAAATGCGAGGAAATACAAACTCATACGAACATAATTGGCCACGTGTGTATGTTATGTTGTTTTATGATACCATCAATTCCATGCGTGAGTATGCGAACGTAATTTTACGAGTCATAATAGGATTTGCAATGCAAATTCGATGTACAACAACTGCAAAGAGATCAAGAAAAAAAGCCAATCCAATGCCCAATACACAAAAAATAGTGCTTTATAACCTAAGACATCAGAAGCACCTCACGCTTTCCTCCTCCATTATACGTATACGAATACGTACAGCCTTGCCAAATTCCTATCAGAAACGACACTGGATATTGCTAAAATATGTCACAAAGAAAAACCGATCTGCAATGCTGACATCACTAGCTACGCGGTCAGTTACACGACTTTCGGAGGCAAAATAAAACTTTAAATGTTAAATAAATCAAACACAATTATATTTTTTACAATTTACCTTTAATCATGGTACAATAATACAAGGTAGGGCAGCTTGAGATGAATAACAAAAAAGCAACTACGCACGTGTGGCCTCTTCTGCCAAAAATAAAATAAATTTACGCAACAAGTGTTTGTGTTTATTTGACATTTCTTCAACACAAAACAAAAAACGCGAAAAATTAATGAAAGGTTATGATTTCTTCCAAAATTCCGTAGGGAATACCATCAAATGTTTGTTTCATCCATAACAAAGTAATTACTTCCAGAAGAACGTGTAAAAAACTTTATTTTCATTTTATTAAATTTGAATATATTTCAATTTATTTGACATTATATTCAAAACAATACACACACATACACAAAATATGTATTTTGATTTGATTGAACAAGCCACCTTGAGAAAAAATTGTAATCAGTTGGTAGCTGTGCCCTACCTTGTAATTATTATACCATGCCTTTAATACTTTTTGTAGTACTTGAGGAATTCTATCAGTGGTAAAAACCACGCGAAAAAAGCCAATCCAATGCCCAATACGCAAAAAATAGTGCTTTTAACCTAAGACATCAGAAGCACCTCCCGCTTTCCTCCTCCATTATACGTATACGAATACGTACAGCCTTGCCAAATTCCTATCAGAAACGACACTGGATATTGCTAAAATATGTCACAAAGAAAAACCGATCTGCAATGCTGACATCACTAGCTACGCGGTCAGTTACACGACTTTCGGAGGCAAAATAAAACTTTAAATGTTAAATAAATCAAACACAATTATATTTTTTACAATTTACCTTTAATCATGGTACAATAATACAAGGTAGGGCAGCTTGAGATGAATAACAAAAAAGCAACTACGCACGTGTGGCCTCTTCTGCCAAAAATAAAATAAATTTACGCAACAAGTGTTTGTGTTTATTTGACATTTCTTCAACACAAAACAAAAAACGCGAAAAATTAATGAAAGGTTATGATTTCTTCCAAAATTCCGTAGGGAATACCATCAAATGTTTGTTTCATCCATAACAAAGTAATTACTTCCAGAAGAACGTGTTAAAAACTTTATTTTCATTTTATTAAATTTGAATATATTTCAATTTATTTGACATTATATTCAAAACAATACACACACATACACAAAATATGTATTTTGATTTGATTGAACAAGCCACCTTGAGAAAAAATTGTAATCAGTTGGTAGCTGTGCCCTACCTTGTAATTATTATACCATGCCTTTAATACTTTTTGTAGTACTTGAGGAATTCTATCAGTGGTAAAAACCACGCGACTTCAAATATAAATGACTTTAGACATCATTTCTAATAGTGGGGAAACTCTGTGAATTTTGTCAACATATTTTAATATTAATGATTTTTTTGCAGTTTTTATTTCTGCGATTTTTCCCAATGTGGCCTGTTCCATCAAATCAAACTACATTTTTTTCTATATGAGTGTAATGTTTTGCATACTATGTCAAATAAATAAAAATAATTTTGAAATATATTCAAATTTAATTGACATGAAGTCTGATTTTTGAGAAGAAATCTCTCACTTCATCCCTTGTTTGCGTTTTTAGTTATGTGCTGAAAAAGTGTCAAATAAACACAAGAACCTGTTGCGTATATTGATTTATAGATGACAGGGGAAGCCACTACCTACATAGTGTTTTTTTGTTATTCACATCATGTTAACATACCTTGTATTCATGTGGCAAATATCAGTTCAGCCAGAAGGCGAATTCCTAAAAAATACAACCCTACACCTACATTTATTATTAAACGTTATTGTAAAGGTCTATACAGTAGATAATCAACTAAGACCAGCTGATATCTAATTTTTTTGTAAAAATATTTAATTTTGAATAAAAAAAATCATAGTTGGCTATTACTAACAATCAGTTCGCTGATATACTTTCGCCGTTCGTGTATTTATATAGTTGTTTTATCGAAATTAGTCTTCTGGATGACCTGATATTTGGGTCATGGTTATTGTTGTGGCAAAAATGTTTTTAGAATATATATTTTTTAACTCGAATATCAAAATACCACTCCGCACTGATTTTTTTGTTTCATATAATTTTCATGCATTTGTTGTCAATTTTTTCAAATAGAAAAATTACTTCACATTCATACCATGGTACAATGATTCATACTCATGGCATAATTATACAAGGTAGTCTCATGCAGACATATGATTCAAATTTTTTCATATTTTTTTCACAACACTCAGCTTTAAAATGTTTAATGAAAATATCCTCCTTCGAAATGTACGCTCAACACGTGTTCAGTGGCAATAATTACAAAATGTTTATTATCTTGAAGTTTCCAGCCTCTATAATCTATAAAAGGAAATATTTATTTAAGGGAACCCAAACAAAAAAGTTGTGTTATGGTTTTGTTGTTGTTTTTTTTTTGTAATTTAAGTCCTTATTGAATATATGCCAAATAAATCCTCATAAAGTAGTTTAACCCGGTAAAAAGTTCTAATGTATATGACGTATTATCCTAGTTCATACGATAGCTATACACTCACAGAGAAACGTGTAAAAATTTGGAATCGATTGCGTTATTAGTTTCTGATTTATCGTGCCCGCCATTCGCAAAGCCAATGTTTGGAGAAAAACGCGTTTAAAGTTTGAGAAGCCCTTCAGCCGCCACTTGATGCTGACACAATAAATCGGCTATATCTTCAAGAATTCTTAAGATTTTCACTTGGGGGGAGGGTCGATAGCCTTTTGATAGCCAATATGTTTTTTTTTTTTTAATTCGAAATTAAATATTTAGACCAAGTTGTATTTATATATGGTGTAAGTGTCAATCACTTTTTTCATGTTTGTAAAATAAATTATTAGAATATATTAAGGACTTCAACTCAAATAATATTTTCAATTAAATTATCATAAAAAACGTACCAGAAATTTTTAATTGTACCATTTTGTCGCGATATATCATTTTATTCAATTTCATGCACTGACAATTCATTTTCTTGCTTATATTATTGTACCATGCTACGCAGCATGGCATAATTATAGAAGGTAGTCTCATTGGAGAAATTTATAATGGCAACCATTTTTAATTTGGAAGTAATCTATCAATTTCACAGCCCTGCCTAAAATTCAACTAGCTCGTTCGACGTTTTTCACCACAAAAGTAGAACACATGTATTTATATGAATGTTAACGAAATACGTCGAGCGCACAAAATTTCAAGTTGAACAATTTCAACTTTGACAGAACGTGTTTTTTGTTTTTTCTTTTGTTGAAAATAAAAACAAAACATTCAGAAAATATGAAATGTGAACAAAAAATATTTGGATTAATTAAATAAATTTTCATTTTTTTTTTTTTTGCGGTTTGTATTATTCGCTTGAAGATATAGCTTCGACGTATTTGGGTAATACGGCCAACATTTTGCAAAAGTGGGGAATAAAATATTAAACATTTTGTAAACTGAACACGTGTTGTGCGTACATATTTTCATATTTTTTTATTTTTCATTTTTTTCATATTTCCATTTAAATTTTGAATTTCATAAAAATTTTCATTTAAGTCAAAAGTAAAATTATATGAATAAATATGTTTGTACGATAAAATGTGCTTCATGAAGACAGATACATTCTATTTTCACGAATATTTATATTCTATTTTCACGTGTTATTATTTTCTCGTGTAAAAAAAAAAAAATTCAAACATACCAATTATTTTGCGTTTACGGCTTATATATATCTTTATTTCCTGTTTTGTAATGATTTACATATTCTTTGTTTTTATTCTAAATTTATGTATGCTTACTAAATGGCTATTTTGTGGCGAAGTGGCAATTGAAAAGCTCGAACACCTAGGTGCTAACTAAATACAAACATCCTGAAAATAATATAATATACGAAACATGATAAGGATACATTACAAACTAACGGTATTAATTATGTCTTTGGTTAATAAATCAAAAAAATTCTTTGGAAATGATTGCTAACTTATCATACATATGAGAAACATTTCGAATGTTTATTATAAAAATATTACTTTGGTTTGCGAATTCAAATGTCTTAAATTTAGATTATTTTAAAATATTATCTTTGGATATTTTCAATTATATTCTATTTGATGGGACCTGTAAAATGGCAAGTATTACGGCTTGAATATGCCTTGGCCGTAAATTGTTTTTTTTTTTTGGTATTAAATGTGTATTCATTGAAATTTTAATAAATATGGCACCCTATATTTTAAACTAAACGGGGTCGTCTCATTTCTGCTTCATGTATTTTGAAACAATATTCTCCAAAATGTCATCCACAGTTTGGTTATCCTCTTTGAACTTTTGCATTACTTTAGGAGGTACAATCCAGTTGAGAAATTCATCAACATTTAGACGCATTCTTTCTAATTGTGTCAATTTTAAATCTTCATAAGACTTTCGGTTGGCTAGCTTGAGCGCAGCAATTAACACATTGTCTATAAGTCGTTTTTCAAAGCCCAACTGTAGCAACTTTGTTTCGGAAGATATTTTCTTTAACAGAATTGCCATGAGTAAACGGATATGTGACAGATTGTTAGTCTCGTCTTCTTTGCTGCTTTCCTCTTTTGCGATATTACTGAATTTTTTGCATTCACGGTGGTGCGATTCCAAATCCAGTTTGATTTTGAAAAACTCGCGGCAACCCTCACACATGTAGGGGTTTGGCTGATTATGTATTTTCTTCATATGGGTTTTCAAGTGAGCTAACTGCGAGAAAGCCACTTCATCATCTTTGCACAGCAAACAATTGAACGGCTTTTCCCCCGTGTGCTTACGTACATGTAATTTTAATACGCTTGAATGAGCAAATGTCTGGCAACAAATCTAAAAAAATTTAAAATCTCTTAATCCTCTAAATAAGTTTGCTATTTTGTAATTCGTTACTAACCCTGCATTGAAATGGTCTCTCTCCGGTGTGCATACGCATGTGTACGTTATATTGGGATTTCTGTGAAAACATAGAGTTGCAGATGTCACAAACATATGCTTTGACATTCGTGTGGGTTTTAAGATGTGTCTCCAAGTCCTCCTCCTCGATAGGGTTTTTACAGATGTCACAGTCCATTAATTTGTAGTGCAGTCTATAAATGTGGGCCCTTAACAGCACATTATTAGCAAAATATTCTTTGCATATTTCACAGAAACAATCAGGCGTCTCGTCATGTCCCAGCATGTGTGCCTTTAAATTCGCCTGCGTCGAAAAACATGATGAACACTTCTCGCATTTATACTGTTTTGGTGCGTCCTGGTGATGGCTAACCATGTGCTGGTTTAACTGCAAAGTAATTTAATTAATTTAATTTATTTGTTGGTCTTATTACTAGGTCGGGTCATTCGCCGTCTTACCTGTCCCCCTCTTGCAAAGTGTTTATCACAAAAAGAACAGGAATAGGGTTTTTCGCCTGTGTGAATTCGCATATGCAAACGGAGTCTTTCCTTCAACGCAAATGTTTTGGGGCATTCCTTACAGGAAAATTGTTTCTGCTTATTGTGAGTAGATATTATATGATTTTTCAGGTTAACCTCCTGTCGATAACCATTGCCACAAACAGTGCATTTATAAGGCTTTTCTGCAGTATGGATTAGCTTATGCCTACTTAGATCCGATTTACCTCGAAACTCCTTATGACATACGTCGCACACGTAGCTCTTTCTAACACGTTTGGCCGAAGTGCCCACTCGCTCATCTGTATGACATATGTTTCTTTCGCTGGGATTCCTTCCATTTTCCACTAAATCGTCTGATTTGGAACATCGGCTACTTTCTTCATTGTCGCTTATAACCACTTTCTCAGTTCTATCCACTTCTATTACATCGGACTCCCCGTCATCATCCGTTACACATAGCTCCTCCAAAATAGCTTCCTCCTCATCTTCGTTTAGACATGAAAAGTGTTTTTTATTTGCAGGCGGAGATGATAGTGATATACCGCTGTCTGCCAGTACTGAAGAGGCATCCTCCTTTGAAAAAGACCGACGGCTGCGTACCATAGTTAGAATTAATGTACAGCTTTCTTTCGACCTTATTTAGAATCCGGCCCAAACCAGCCAGCCCCCAAACACCGTTTGAATGCCGAACCAATTGCCTTCCAATGTGGGTTAGTGTTTGAATTTGTATTTAGAGTTATCAAATGTTACAGATGTTTGAATTAAATATAAACCAACACCATCCTATTTACAGAGATTGTTGTGGTAGTTCACTATAAGATTAATAATTACTGCAAAAGAAAAGTCTTGCATTAGGACACACTACAGAGACAAAGTAAAATTATCCAAAGAAATCTTTTTGTTGTTCATACCAGCTGGGACGACAGTAAAGCGAATGATACCTAAAAGAACTTACACACATATATAAGTATATACATATGGGTATGTGAATGTATACCGTTTTAGATAATTTGGGAAACATGGAGTTTTATGTATTTTCAAAGCAGTTGTGTCAATACGATACACAATGTTTAAAGATATGTCGCACCGTGGTGTTCGCATTGAAATAGATTCACATGAACCTATCAAAAGAAATAGGGTTTGCTTCCTTAGTCTTTTGTTTGAAGATAAGAACATATGTTTGTTCAGCAGATATCAGGGGCAAAAAGTCGACCTCCCTCTCTCTATCTTTATCTCACTCACTCTTAAGCAATTACAATAAAATTCATTTACAAATATATTTCCAACAGTTTAAACAATGTCGATGATAAGAAATCAAGAATGATATCAACGGCTGAGTTGATATCAAGAACTGTTCTGTCATTTTTAGTTTCCTAATATTATTTAACTCACAACATTGCAGTCGTTTGCATTATTTCGATTTGAGCTCTGTTTGGCAATCGTCCGCTGACGACAACGTATGTGTCGCAACTGATTTCATTATTGCCTTTATTTACATATGCTCATTGTATATACAATCGTGGCCAAAACTAAAGAGACTGAAAATGCACAAAGAATAAATTGCCTGAACCTTTTTTAAAAATATACTTATAGGGAAGGTCTTTTGTGACAAATAAATAGATAATATATAAACTTTTAAAAAACATAATATGAACGCATATTTTTTTAAATATAAAATAATCTATGGAAAATAGTAACTTTTAGATTTTTTTCTTTTAAATAAGTAAATTTTCCTAGTAATCGACAGCATAGGTATTATGTTTGATTGCGACAGCATAGCTACGAGACATTGAATCTATAAATTGCTCAATTTGATCTTTGGATATAATATTCCTTGCATCCTGAACCTTTGGGAAGAAGGGTTATTGTTCATTTGTGAATTTCTTTTGATTTTGCTATTACAATACTACACATATTTTTCTAGGTTTTTGAATCCTACAACACATCTTTGACATGTTTCGATGTATGTTTTAGAACTCGTCACCAAAGGATTTTTTTTAGACTCCTAATAACAACAACAATAATAATCCATACCGGTTATTTAGGAAAGTAAATTAATATAAAAGAAAATTTCATTTGCAAAAAACCAGACCAAGCGAGTACACAAAACTTCTACGGGAAAAATCTGATCCAAGTAGCATGCAAGAATTCGGAGCAACCAATATTTATTTCAGAATAAAAAACTATTCTTAAATAAAAACACAAGAGTAGACGTGCGAGCTAACATAAATCCGGAGTCACTAAACACATTCACATTGGGTGAATGACAACCAAGTAATGACAATCGAAACCAGCAAATCCGAGCACTGCTGAAACACACATGCATCGCAGATGTTTGGCATGTTACCAGTGTTTTTCGTTTTAGAACCTATGTGTCTTTGGGCCAAATCCATTTCAGACAATTTGGAGTCCGTCTGTCTGGTTGGCTATTGCACACAATAACTTTCGAAGAGCGTAACCGATTACTTCCACACTTTGCAAATCGTAATAAATAAATAAAATTCGGAAATGGGGAATATCAAACCACTCCTTCAGGTACCTACCCACAAAAATTTTGGTGAATATAATTTTATAAGCTTTGTACAACATAGTATTTTAATATTGGAAAATTGTCCAGTACGGTCCACTACTTCTGTATATCCCCATGAAAGGTTCAATATTAGAAAATTGAAACGAACGGAATATCTATTTTTATCCAAACGTAGTCCATAGTAATATTTTAAAGCGTATGCCAAGTCCAAAGATGGGATGCATCGGTTCAATTCTTCTGGTACATTTCCACAAAGTGTCAACATTTTCAATATGTATAAACCCAATATTAGGCGAATTGAATAACCGATTTGAACAAGGTAAATTTAGGTCAATTATCGTCTACCATCATCTGTAGTGCCTCCACATATATCTACCGGAAACATAAACTGAGTTTTTTACTTTTTTACCCGAAATAGACCGAGTGAGTGGAGCAGAATAGTCTGATGGGACCATATGGTTTGATCCCCCATATATTAACCTATCATTACCCTAACCAATAGGTGTCGTCTTTGTGCAGAATCTACATGCAAATGACAAATAATCCGTTATAAATTTAATAGTCAGATGGGCGAACAAACATGTCTAGATCGTCTGAGTCAGTCGAGATATATCGGCATACTATAAGGAGCCGCCCAAGTAATACATTTTACATTTTTTAGACCACTTTTGGACATAAATGCCCATTTACGGAAACACTGCTTGCTACTGGTTTTTAATATATTTCGATAACATTGAACTCCACGTTTAATGACGAAGAACACTCCTCAACGACACACGCTCAGATTGAATGGCTTAAAAGTAAATGTAAATTGATGCATAATATGAAACTTGGTTTTGTGTATACGGTCGACTAAACCCTCACCCAAAAACTCATGCATGGATCATTTGTCCCAACCACATGCTGACAGACAAATCGTACTAGGGATATAGGGAATTTCCGCGAGGTGTTAAAATTGGAAAATATTAGGTTCAACTCATAAATTGTAAAGAAATAGAAATATTTGTCCACTAAAACTATATATGTGTGCGTGCATAGTTGGCTTCCTGTGGTTGCACAGTTGATCCAGATGTTTGCAGTCTCAGTCTTTTGTTTAGAATATCAGAAATGCGAGAATACAAGAAAATATTACGAAGCCAAAATTGAGAAAAAGAGATACACCATGACTTTGGTATTTAATAAAACAACCACATTTGATGAAAGAAAAGCATGCAAAGGTTAAATAGCTGTCCACCGAAATATAAATAAAATGAAAATATGTGATTATGTACTTACCGAAGTGGGATGCGGCTACATTGCTAGTCGTTTTTAACACAGCGTCATTTTTGTTTCCATCCATTTATTCCCTTTTCCGTCTACACGAACGAGACGACTTTAAATTGCCCACACATGTTCGCAACTAAACTCCAGATGCTTGGGCAGACATGATTGATTTCAATTGATTTGCTGTTCGGGGGGTTGGCATGAATCAACCCTCAAACAGTTGTTGACGAGAAGCGTAAACACCAATGGGCTCAGTTACAGTTTCCACCACGATTACTTCTTATTTCCGAATCTGTGTTAAATATATCACATTCACTAGTTGAGATCTAATTCCACATTAATTTTAGCAATATTTGTTCAACCAATATTAAAAAAAAAAACTCAGTCCACAGTTATTTTACTAACGGCACTTTGTGTGTGAATAAAATCAGTAGAGTTGGGTAGTTCCGGAACGAACTAGTTCATTGGAACTATTCCGAGAAAGGAACGAACGGAACTAGTTCCAGTTCTTTAATTAATATAATTCCTTTCTCTGATCCAGTTCCTTTTTTGAACTATTTAAAGCAAAGGAACTGTATGGAGCAAAGGAACTATTTGGAGCATAGGAACTATAAAGAGCAAAGGAACTATATGGAGCAAAGGAACTATATATGGAAAAACGAAAAAAACATAATAAAAGAGAGAGAGAGAGATTCAAAAGAACAAGACTCCAGCCCTCATAAAATTCGCTTGTTAATCGTCGTTCTGCCAAGACTCAAGCGACGTCGTACGCAAACCTTCGCCAACAAATGGTCTGTTCCAGTACTTTTTATACCCTCCACCATAGTATGGAGGGTATATTAATTTTGTCATTCCGTTTGTAACTCATCGAAATATTCATTTCCGACCCTATAAAGTATATATATTCTTGATCAGGGTAAAATTCTAAGACGATCTAGCCATGTCCGTCCGTCTGTTGTAATCACGCTATCTTCTGAAGGAATTGAGATAGGGTGCTGAAATTTTGCATAGGGTTGTCTTTTGTCTGCAGGCAGGTCAAGTTCGAAGATGGGATATATCGATCCACGTTTAGGCATAGCTAGTTGAGATCTAATTCCACATTAATTTTAGCAATATTTGTTCAACCAATAATAAAAAAAAAACTCAGTCCACAGTTATTTTACTAACGGCACTTTGTGTGTGAATAAAATCAGTTGCATGGCCTATAAATAAGGTCACCAAGGGAGACCAGCTGATTATCGATACCTCTCAAGTTTACTGTCAAAATGCATTATTGTGAATTGACTTCCATTATGAAAACGTAAACAAAGTCGAATTTTTTGACATTAGACTTGAGAAAAAACAGCTGTTTTCCGATTTCGGTTGCTATCTTGGTGACCTTATTAATAGATCTTGATCAGTTGCTTCAGTTGCTGTTTCCACAGACTAGGGATAAGTAAATCGACTTTCGATTAATCGACTTTTTGTATTAAAATTTCAACTGTTGATCTTAGAGGAAATCGCAAAGTCGACTTTTTCAGATCGTCTTTCGAATTTCGTCATAATTACTTTGTTTATTATCACAAAGCCAAGATTGCCCAAAAATTACATATTCCAGAACTTTATTTCGTCTGATGTCAAGAATTCATATAAAAAATAAAATTTTTTGTCGATTTTGCATATGGTATGTTCCCGTACTGCAATAATCTACTATTTTTTACTACGATAACACTTTTTTCCTTTATGATATCAAAAAAAAAATAGTAGAAAGTCGTAGATTCTTGCAGTACGGGAACAGGCCAATAGATTCCAGAGTTTAAAGGGCTAAGCAGATTGTACGTGTTGAGCGTTTTTTTTTTTTTTTTTTGTTATCGCGTTTACGCACGCAAAAAGTTAAAATATATTTAACTCTGAAACGCAGCGCACATCAATTTCGAGAGTTTGTATTATCGTTTCCTTGTGGTTGGTGACGGATGTTCAGTTATGCCATGTATAGACGAGCGTTGTTCGCTCTCTCATTCGTTGTTCGACACTTAATTATGAAGTAATTTCTTAGTTCCCCATACAAATTTTTCTGAGCGAACAACGATTTTTGTACAATTGAGAGCATTTATCGAAAATAAATTAATTTTGACAGTATGAAAAAATGTTTTAAATGTACAATTTTTTTTTCAGAAAAAATGGAAATGATGAATGAAAAGTATAAAAATGATTAGATTTTATACATGTAGGGGGAAGTAAATTTAGTTTCCTACTTATTTCGATATATCTTTCTTTTCTAATTAGCGTACAAAACAAGAAACAAATGTGGGGAAACCAGTAACGTACACAGGATTTCATCTCCAAATTTGTATATGTGACAGTATGTGACATTTGAATTGAGAAAATATAAAAATGTATTAAAAACAACAACATTTTCAGAAAAAATGGAAAACATGAATGAAAAGTAAATATTTATGGGTTCTTACTATATTTAGGAGAAAGAGAATATTTTTTTCTATTTAAATACGTAGTTAATATACATGGTACAATTATAAAAGGTAACAGCAAATCCCAGCTGATTTGATTCCAACGTAATACTAGTGTCAATATGAATTTGACAAATTATGTTTTTTAAAATCACCCAACAGGAAAATTGGGAACGCATACAATTTAAAATTGTTCTTTATTAAATGTGCTCCTGTATTCAATTTACTCAATCTGCCTGCTGGGAAAGTTTGAGGAAGCAAATCTTTCTTCGAGGAATAACTCGCTATTCCCAGCATTTTCATATGTGTTACACATATATGTGGCAATGGCTCAATTAAAGGAAAGATGTGGAAGCGATAGAAATATAAATTTGAAAGATTTTTATTCATGTTTTTCAATTTTTATTTTGAGGACTTGAAAATATTTCATTTTCAAAATAAAAATAATTTGATGATAATTTGTTTGTTTGTTTACATTTTTCTGTCAAATGAGTTGACACTAGTAGAACTTACAACAACAAATTTCCATGTGGTTGTTGTATCGATTTTTGTACAACAACACTTGCTGTTACCTTCTATTATTATACCATGGTTAATATACAGAAATAAGTAGAGATTTCGGTGTAATAGAAAAAACAACAAGTTTGAAAAAGAAAATTCTGATGACATGAATTAAGAATAGTGTTGTATGAACGGGTTAATTCATGTAGGTAATTCTGAGAGCGAACTACGTTGTTCGAGTGCTCGTCAGAACATGGTATTACGCCATCCGTCGTGTTTTTTGTTATCGATAATACAACGACCACACGACAACAATTGGTCTGTTCCAGAACCTGTAAAAATGCCCAATTTTTTTACAACAACAACAATTTTTCCTTTATGATATCGGAAAAATAATTAAAATTTAGTAGATTCTTGCAGTACGGGAACAGGCCAAATATCGTCATCATTTGCAGTTGATGTGCGTTGTACTTCGCAGTTAAATATATTTTTGCTTTATGTGCTTGTTGACGCTATACGAAACAACATGTAACACGATCATTGCGCGGCGCCCTATTTTGCCTTGACAGAATTGTTTACATATGATGTGTTCCTTTATTCAAACAGTTGTAAAAGTTTTGAAATATAGAAACATATAACGGGAACAATTTTAGGCAGTATTGTTGCAAGGGTTTAGCATTATAGTCCTGATTATGATGTTGAGAGAGGAAGATGTTCAATTGAATTTATTAAATAGATGGTTCAATTATTGGTTTGTTCCCATACTGCACGATTCTACTAATTTTTACTATTTTCCGATACCATAAAGGAAAAATTGTTATCGTAGTAACAAATTGTACATTCTGGCAGGTTCTGGAACAGACCGTATATCTGCGTAAAACAATGGTCATTACAATTAAATGGCCTGTTCCCGTACTGCAAGAATCTACTTTGCTTTTTTCTTCAATATCATAAATGAAAATTTGTTATCGAAGTAAAAAGTAATAGATTCATGCAGTACCATGGCCCAATAATAAGGTCGTCGGATAAGGCCAGATGGTTTCAACCGAGCTGTCAAAATACTTTAAATTTTGACTAAATCGCGTGAAAACGTAAAGTAAAGTAAAATTTTATTGAGACTCTTCTTCTTTTCGATAACATATTTAAATGTACTGAGAATGATTAGCCTAGTTAGAACTATATACGTCTTATTCTAACACTTGGAATGTGATATGCATCTTTGCAAACAGTAATAATATAAAATATATGCGAAAACATACAAGAGAGAGTGAAAAGGCTTGCTCCCGGCCTATACATTTGCTGGCAGAGCATTTTACGTCTGCCAAGTATAAATAAACTTAAGCGTGAAAACGTAAACAATTTCTTTTTACACGACCTGTTTATTGGGCCATGTGCGGTACAGACCAACAATTTTCATGTTACATGTACAATTTTTGTGTTTCGAGTCACCCATTGATTTCGATAAACAAAATGTTATCGTAAGTTAGCAATTGGTCTGTTCCCGTACTGCATGAATCTATTAAATTTTACTAATTTCTTCGATATCATAAAGGAAAATCTGTTACCGTAGTAAAAAGTAGTAGATTCTTGCAGTACGGGAACAGACCAAATGTAGCTAACTCACGTAGATGTTGGCATGCGACTTCCACATGGTATAATAATAGAAGGTAACAGCAAATGTTGTTGTACAAAAAACGATACAACAACCACATGGAAATTTGTTGTTGTAAGTTCTACTAGTGTCAACTCATTTGACAGAAAAATGTAAACAAACAAACAAATTATCATCAAATTATTTTTATTTTGAAAATGAAATATTTTCGAATCCTCAAAATAAAAATTGAAAAACATGAATGAAAATCTATCAAATTTATATTTCTATCTATTCCACATCGTTCCTTAATTGAGCCATTGCCATATATATGTGTAACACATATGAAAATGCTGGGAATAGCGAGTTATTCCTTGAAGAAAGATTTGCTTCCTCAAACTTTCCCAGCAGGCAGATTGAGTAAATTGAAAACAGGAGCACATTTAATAAAGAACAATTTTAAATTGTATGCGTTCCCAATTTTCCTGTTGGGTGATTTTTAAAAAAATAATTTTTCAAATTCATATTGGCACTAGTATTACGTTGGAATCAAATCAGCTGGGATTTGCTGTTACCTTTTATAATTGTACCATGCGACTTCCAGAATAAATACTTTTAGCACTAGCCATGTGCGGTATAGACCAACAATTTTCATGTTACATGTAAAATTTTTGTGTTTCGAGTCACCCTCTGATTTCGATAAACAAAATGTTATCGTACGTTAGCAATGTAGCTAACTCACGTAGATGTTGGCATGCGACTTCCAGAATAAATACAGCACTATTTTAGCATAAATAAAGCACAGGTTTTTTGGGAAATTAAAGCATTTTATATATTGGACCTTATTTTTAAAGTTTGTTGACCCACTTGCATTGTTTCGTTTTCTTTTTTTGTACTGACTTTGGTTGTTTGCAGTTGTTGTGGTTTGAGAATGGCTGGAGTTTTGTTTGAAGATATTTTCAACGTGAAGGATATGGATCCAGAAGGCAAAAAATTCGATCGAGTCTCTCGACTACATTGCGAATCAGAGTCATTCAAAATGGACTTGATATTAGATATTAACTCGTGGCTATACCCCATGGAGTTAGGAGATAAGTTCCGTTTAGTTTTGGCCACCACGTTGCGCGAGGACGGCTGTCCAGACACCGGTGAATACAACCCCTTGGAGACGGAAGGCACTAGAGCTGATAGTTTTGAATATGTGATGTTTGGTAAAACATATCGAATTGAGGGCGACGAAGCACATAATGAAGCTTCTTCCAGATTATCGGCTTATGTTTCCTTTGGTGGTTTGCTGATGCGGTTGCAAGGAGATGCCAATAATTTACATGGCTTCGAAGTTGATCAACAAATGTATTTATTAATGAAAAAGTTAGCTTTCTAAATAATTTTTAGTAATTACTAGTAGTGTGTATGACCAAAATAAAAATATATGTTTTTTATAACGGATCTAAAAAGAATGTTGTGAAAAACTTGTTTGCTTCTAAAAGTGGCATCAACAAAATTTTAAAAATTACAAATATTTTATAATTTTAAATTGAAGCATGTTCCTGTAGGCGTTCTTTAGAATTATCAGAATATCTGAGTGAAAAATATTTAATTTTAATATACATATTCGTGTTTTAAAATCGACATGCCCACTAATTTTTTCATTCGGACATATTTGAAGATCATGATAAGAGAAAACATTCAGAATATAAAACATAATGCAAATAACTTCCAAAATAATGATATAGAATCATTTTTGGATTGCATGTTGATCACGAAAAAAAAAAAAAAATTGGAACGGACTACTATTTTCATAAGTTCCATAATTAATTGCCGAGTTTAATTATTTTCATAATTAAACTCGGCAATTTTAATTGTTTAGAAGATCCGGACATATTTGAAAATCATGATAAGAGAAAACATTCAGGATATAAAACATAATAATGCAAAAAACTTCCAAAATAATGTAGAATCATTTTTGGATTGCATGTTGATCACGAAAAAAAAAAATTGGAACGGTCTACTATTTTGATAAGTTCCACTCGAAAGAAAAAACAATATAAGATAATAACAATGGTGGCCAAAACTAAAGCAACTAAAATTTCAAACTGAATAAATGTACTGGTTATTAAAAGTAAACTAGTTTTTTTTTTTCAGAAATAAATTGGCAATTTATTCACTTAACAAAAATAAAAGGAAAATATGAAAAAAAAAAAAAAAAAAAAAAAAAAAAAAAAAAAAAAAAAAAAAAAAAAAAAAAAAAAAATATGGAGTAGGAGTAGTTTTTATTATTCAATCTTATTTATGATTGTATGAATTTATTTGTTTTTAATTTTTTGAATTTTTATTGTTATTTTTTTTGGGGTAGTTTATCCTTTATTAGGTTAAGCACATCATATGCATTTTGTAATTTATCTTTAATGGGCCTGAAGGCTTTGAATTACAAATTAAATAAGATTGATTTGAATTATGGAAAACTATATTTACCCAATTTTTGCTTGGTCAAAACTAAAGCAACTTTTTATTTTTTTTCTTTTAAATAAGTAAATTTATCTAGTAATTTACTGAGTAACAATTATTTTTGATTACGGCAACACACCTACGAGAAATTGAATTTATATAATTAATTGAATTCATACAATTTAATTCTTGGATATACTATTCCTCGCATATTGAACCTTTGGGAAGATGTTATGTTTATTTCTGAATCTGTTTTGATTTTTCTATTTATGATACTCCAAAGATTTTTCCAAAAGGGTGAAAATTTGATAATTGTGTTGATTTGATAATTGTGTTCTCAATATAATTTTTTTCGTGTCTGTGCCTTTAACAACGTAACCTATAATCCGACGGGGCGTACAGAAATATTCAACTTCCCCTCTATGGCAAAATTTTGTGTACGGCCGTATTACCCAAATACGTCGAATTCACATCTTCAAGGAAATAACATAAATATCAACAAAATTGAAAAATTACAATATTACAATATTTACTCAAATATTTTATATTCTAATTCAAAAATTCATATTTTCATTTTGTTTTGCTTTTATTTTCAACAAACAAAAAAAGAAAATAATACGTTCTATCATAGTTGAATTTGTTCAACTTTGAAAATTCGTACGTCGACGTATTTCGGTAACTTTCATATAAGTCCCAATTTAGATTACATGCGGCAAGTCTTTATTTGCAGGAGAGAGAGAGGCAAGGGTAATTGAAATGGAAAAAAATGTCTCGTACCGACAATTTTCTGGCAATTTGTTTTGTGTATTTTGTTTGTAGTGCAATTTCAGAAAAACCGAATTGTCTTGTATAGACGCATGAAGCAAGTTCAAAAGAGAACGATAAGGATTGCCGTAATTAAACTCGCCTAATCTAAATCAAGGCCTATATAAGGTTTAACGTCAATTTCTTTTGCCGAGGCGAAAACTAATTGTTTCGCCTTTAAACAAAAAACACAGCCAATACGCAACACAATTTATAATTTGTAGGATAATTTACTTGAGAATCTTCTTTAAACTCTTGAAATAGTCCAAATGTGCTTCACAAAGACGATATAAATTAAAATTGAATTGAATGTTGACAAAGTATATTAGTGAAATATTTAAAAACATTTTATATATATATATTTTTTTAATTTTGTTTGAATTTAGGTACGACCATTATGTATTTGGTTTTCTTCATAGCTTTTCATAATAGCCCTACCTATATTTCAACTATCTCGTCCGACGTTATTCACCACAAAAGTAAAACACACGTATTTATATGAATGTTAGTCCGCTTTTCCACAGGCAGATTTTTATTTGGCAAATTTTTTGTTTTCTCTTTTGAAATTTTCGCTTGCTTTTCCATTAGCAAATTTTTCTTTGCCAAATTTGCGAATCAAAATACAAAAGAAAGAAAAAACAAACGTCAAAAGTGTTTGCATTTTGAAGATTTTTTAATATTTTATTTATTTTTTATATATTTTAGTATATAAATTGCAAAAATTAAAAATTAAATTTCACTTGCACAAATTAAACAACAGGTTTGTAAACAAAAGCCGGCTGTGTGTCAGTAAAGCGAATAGGTTCAAAAGGAAATGTCAACAAAATTGTTTTCAACGAACAGAGCAAAGGAGTACACTCGACAACATTCCGAGGATAACTTTAAAATCAAAAAAAAAAAAAAAAAAAAATGTTATTGTATGTAACACTAGTTCCAGTTTGATATGTCGAAAACAAAACTTTCGAAATATCAATAAATTTGATTTATTTTCAAAATACAATATTTTTGAATTTTCAGAATAAAATTTAAAATCATGAATGAAAATCTTCCAATTTAATAATTCTATCGCTTCCTGGTCATTCCTCCAATTGAGCCATTGCCATATGTAGAGGTAACTCATACAAACGCATTAAAGTCCTGATTTAGATTACGCGAGTTTACTTGCGGCAATTCTTGCCTATACAAGGCAATTTAGTTTCAAACAAAACAAACAACTAATCGACAGTTGACACTGCAATGCGAAATACACAAAACAAATTTCTATTCACCTTGCCCCTCTCTCCAACAAACAAGGACTTGCAGCAAGTAAACTCGCCTAATCTAAATTGGGACAAAGTTAGCGTTGAAAATAGCAATTTTTCATTGCAAAATGATTTGATGCTTTAAATTTTCCCATTAGGAAATTGAAGTAAATTGTAAACCAAAAAGCAACGAACTTCTGTTACGATTTCATTGATTTGAAAATGTATAATTGTTAAAGCGCGATTAGTACTCTTTTAAATAAATATAATTAAAATTATCATGCCAATTCGTGGTTCAGTTCAGAAAAAAATTAATCGTCGATATGACATTTTTCCATCGTCTGCAGATTTGGGAATATATAAATGTCAAGCATTAGACAAAATAGTGTTATATTTATTTTTTGGTTCCCCAAATGTTGTATTATCTCATTTCAAATATAATGTGTACAAAATTCCCCTACTTTTTCCCTACATAAATCAAAAAAGAATCATTTCAGCTGAGCATTGCGGTTACCTTGTATAATTGTACCATGGTGTCCAGCATAGAAATAAAATACACACATCAATAGTTGTGTCTGTTTTCTCGACATTTGGTAACAATTGTTACCCAATGTTAATAATGTTGTCTGTTTACCCAAAAATCCAGTAAAAGAGAGTAAAGTAAGAGATCAAGTTAACAGTTCAAAAAAAAAAAACTGCTGGAGTTTACTAAATGAATTTTATGCAGTAACATTTTGCAAGCTCAAATGTATTATGACCAATTGACAAACATAATGTGCAAAATACCCAAACATTTTTATTTCCAAAATGCAATTTTAAACTGTGTTGTATAAAAAATGTAGAAAATGGAACAAAATTCGCGAATTTGCAGATTAATTGCTGAATCTTACTGAATGTTGTCTGTTTACATTTCTCACTATTATTGTAAAAGAGTATAAAACCGGCTTACTCTCTGGGATAGAACTTACTGAGTAAATATTACTGGAAAAGTAACCAGACGCAGCTAATAATAAACTATTCTAAACATATGTGCTACTGTAGTTAAGCCATACTGTTCATATAATACAAATAAGTTTGGTTGCGTCTTTCGATGGTTTACATTGTTCCAAACAATTTTCTTGTCATTTCTTCAGTTGGGTGGGTCCATAAAATAAACAAACACTCATACGAGCACTAACAAGTAAATACACATGGACACATTTGTTTACACATCCTAAAGAAGGAAGTAAAATGACTTCATATTATTTCCATGTTCACCCCCTAACTTCATTACTGTGGATGCAACAGTCAGATTAGAACAAGTGAAATGTTTACAAGGTGTGAAGAAAATGCTAAACTAAACAAACGAATTGATATATTTAGATTTTATTATATACAAATGAAATGTTTACAAAATGTTTCTATTTCATCTTCAATTTGTATGCTAGATTTCACATGAAATAGAAAAATACAAATTTGGTTCGTTTTTAATGATCTTGTTCGATTAAATAGCTTCTTCGGGCCGTATACAAGAAATAGAGCGGTACCTATAGTCGAGACTTTAATTTGGATTTACATATGTTGTCGTCGCAGACTGTTTTTTGATGGCATATACATACATATATATTTTTTAAATATAGGTTCTTTAGGTAGGATAAAGAAATAATCACGTTAATAGACGTAAATCTAGTCATGTTTGTCAGCCGTCGTTGATAATGTTATTCTGTGTTTAATGTCTGATTAGTCTAACAATTCATGTATATAAAATATACTGATCCTTTATATTTGATACAGTATTTTTCGGTTAATTGAACATCAAAATTTGCACAAATTTTCGTTCAATTGAATAGTTTGTTCAATTACAGTAATCACGTAAACTTGGAACTACTAATGATTTAAAAAAATCCAACGTCAAATACAAATTACGCTTTCCCGAAGTTTTTCCATAGCAATAAATAGTCTTTTTTACAAATTATGTAAAATATGTATGTAAAAAAATGGCAGATTATTTTTCAATTATTATTGTGCAATTAACCGGTGAAAAGTAAATGGAAATTTATTTTTGATGATATGAATTTTGAACCAATTAAGCGGGAAAATCAATTAACAGGGTTTAATTATCCGATTAAATTTACATGTATTTTCCTACGAAATATTTTTTGCACTATCATGTGGTTCAATTAAGCGTGGAAACCAATTAACCGAAAAATACTGCATTAATTTATGCATCCCACCAAATGACCTCATTTCACACACAGGGCCTGTCTCCAAACGTCTTTAGGATCGATTCCAGTATCAGCGATATTCTTTTGGAGCGTCCTATATAGAAATATCGAATTTATTTATTTATCATAGCATTCACCGAAGATATCCGAACGAGTTACGCTTACAAGCGTTCATTTTAATGGAAAAATGCAGTAGGAAAAACGGAAACTATCAATCGTCAGGAGTGCGTGTGGCGCATTGTTTCTTGTGTGAGTGTTTATACGTAAACAATCACTTTCTCCCTATGACTATTTCTGATGCTTTGAGAATCCATGGTATTTAAATTTATTTCTTGGTAGAGTGGAAAATACAGGCAATTCCGTAATTAGTAGTTCTCTCCATGACTATATCAATTGATTTTGGGCTCCCTCTCTCTATTTCTCCCTCTCTTCCTGTCTGTTTATTCTACATACCAAATGTTCGCTTCTATGAGGGTGCTAGCGTTATGATACCTAACGATCCTGCGCATCTTCATCCAGCACGGCGTATACGTGTTTGTTTATTTTGTTTGGGTCTTCTTCTTGCCACTTCTCTGCTGGCAAAGGAAAAACAAATGAGAAAAATCTCATGTCTGTTCTTTCCCACTAGTGGCAAACATTTCGTAAATGTATAAATATTGAAAAAGACGAGCAGAAAACATCTTAAGACAGAACGAAAAATCGACGATCGGGAACTTGGGTTTTAATAAATTTTGGAATGTGGGTGCAGTGCGTCGTGACGCGTTTACCAGTTCACATCAACTTGTTGGCTACTCGCGCTTCCTTCTCCTCACAGATTAGAAAACATTTCGCCGAGACTTTATACATGCATATGGTGTACATGTAGACGTATTCTATGAATGTACGTGCGTATGTACCGAAATGCTACATATCTGCACACATTCGAGCACATTCATAACGTACCCATACCAATTATATATTTTTTGGAGACCAGTCTATTTTTAAATAGCCAGAAAAGAATCGAATAATATCAAAGTTCCCATAAAAGACTGTTAATTTGTGAATTAAAAAAACAGAATACATACAATACGGAAAATGTGTGACAAGTGAAAACGTTACAAAAACACCGAATAAGTAAGTACCTTTACCAATGTATATATTTTGTTCCATAGTGCCGTAATTAGTAAAAAACATTTTCATTGGATTCCTGGTTACATGACTGCTCGGCGCATTTGTATCCATCGATGCCCAAGATTTTCTTGTATTGTAGCCCAAAATTAATCGCTTACATTTCGGTGGCAATTTTTTTGCTGTCTTTGTGTCAATTGGTGCATTATTCATGCCGATCTTGCACTTGTACCTCCAAAAAAAGTAGCATGCCTTTGTAAGAGACAAATAGACCAGCAAATTAAATTAATTCTAACATGAGCAATACTGACACAAACTGCAAACATTCGCCAATGGACACATACGTATATGTATGTATATACCAAAATACATACATGTGTATGTATGTATATATTCGATCTTAAAGAAAATGTTTCCAAAAATTGTGTTGTGCACTTTTCGTATTTGTGGTTTTATGTGCGTCTAATGATCCTTTTAGACATGCTCACAAACAGCAATACAAGTCCAGGCACGAAATGCTTGAATGCATTGGACACACAAATAACTTGTTATGTTTATATGGTTAATAAAAATGTTTATGTTTCCTAACCATCGTCTCTGTTCCCACACGCTCTCGCTCACACATATCCAAAAAAATCGGTCAGTGTTGTTGGGAAAGTAAAAAGTGCAAAATACCACAAATGGTTTCTTCGGAATGGTATAAACAAATATTCCCGGAAATCTGCTAATGTTCCATACACGCAATAGGGACCAAAGTAAATGTTTCGTCCTTCTTGGTGATTAGTGTGAATATGTGTACTTGTTTGAATTATACTATACTTGTTTGTATTAATTGGTGTTAATGTGTGTCTAAAGGTTATGCTCTGATCATATTTAGCCAAAAACCAGACCAGCAAAATTCGAGTTGATTTGTCTTTTTCCGCTTACTGGCGCTAACATTTAAGACGACAGGAAAGGGAAAAAGGCGTATAGACTACGAATAATCTCACCGATGCTCATAATATAGCACTAAAAGTAAGTATATGTTTGCATCAGATGTGTTTTACAAAGATTCGGCGATTACTTGACATATACACACAAATAGTGAGGAGGTGGATATATTCGTACACATACGCAACATACGACCCTATGATACTAGAGTTCCCTGTATTACCAAGCATGTCAAACGTATATATTTCTGTTTTCTATTGATTTAAGTTTCCGAATCGAATAATCCTGCGATGATTTTATTCCGATTTTATTGTTTGGCATTTTCTTGTTCGTGCATATCTCCACACAATCATGTATGCCACACATCCAGATACATATGTACATATTTGTACGGTGTTGGCTTTTTGCCAGATATTGCCATCACGAATGTTTTTTCATTATTATTGTTGAATGATGCTGCAGCATATTGAAAAGAGAAGCCTGTTTTATTTCATAAATTATTTTATAATTGTTTTCTATTACCATAGATAAACTCCACATATACTGGAAGAAAGGTCTTTCTGTGTTTTTTCTTTGTTCGCTTGTTGCGTTTTGGAATCGAACTAAAACTAGAACTCTTACTGCATAACATACGTTTTCTGATAACTAACAACAATTACAATGATAGACATATATACCTAGGGTTTATATGCTATATATATACATATATAATTGGTAAACATATGTTCATAAACACAAAGAGCGTATTCTTAATACAATACACAGAGGTATGAAACTAATATGTATTGGTGGGATCTGGAGGAAACTAACATCATTCTACACACAATACAACGACTGACTGATCGTCTATGAATGAAACAATCTTCCAAAAATAAAACCAAATATAAACAAGCAAACATCAAGTAGCAGACACACGTACACATGTACATATGTATGTATCGCGAACGAAAGAATTCTGGAAGTTATTCCAAAACGAAAAAATGAATAGCCTAAATGGAATTTATTTTTAATTTCTCAGTGAATCTAATAAAAGTTAAGACATAAAAGCACTGGCATAGGCAGACGTATGGCAAGGGCGTGTTCTGCTGTATGGTTCATTACAATGCAATGCAAATGAACCAAAACTGGATTTTTTGTTGAGATAACACCAAAATGCAATCGAGACTCATGTTATCATGTTTCGAACGTTAATTCAACACATTAATTGATTTATAGATATACATATGTACACACATATATTGCATAACCGGAATATGCAAATGTAGACCTCTTCTAGGAGGACTTGCATTTCCAGCGTAGCCATTGTTATGCTGGAGGGAAGGGCCCTCCAGAGTTCAATCGGAAAACTCTAAATCGAAACGGGAATTGGATTCTTTTGTTCAAATCACAGCTACCATTTGCAGCCAACACATTTAAGACAACAACAAGTTAACAGCTAAAGTTGATTGCACTTAGCTAACATTCATTCTTAAGGGCAGCGTTAATTTTTAGCCCCAAATGAAAAACAACTGAACACATCAAATCCCAAACCAGCCAAACGTCTTTTTAATGAAGTACATTATCGCTGTAAGTGGAACGATTGAAGCGGTCTTTGTTCGCAGAGAATAAAATGCCTGCTTAGTTCACCAAAAGCAACAATATTATATTTATATCCTCTTGGATCGGATGTACTGCGGTCGTCACAATGAGATATGTAAGTAAAATCAATGTTTTTGTTTCATCCTGGCTTGCATTCAAAGTCTGACCATTCTGCTGGTCTCCCCTAGTTTTGGCTTACATTCTGTATAGTAGGTGTGGTACGTTCGACCCCCATTGGTAACACAGAGACGCAGCAGGGACTAATTGCCGAGAACGAGAATACGAATACAACACATAAGTCCGGTATCGTAGAGATTGTAGATTCTTCTTCCAGCCATAATGTGGACGGTTCCTACAGTTTCCACTATCGCGGAGCAGACGGAACCTTTCGTGAAGAGACGGCTGTTGTTAAAAACCCTGGCACTGAACATCAACATCTTGAAATCACAGGGGCCTATTCTTTTTTTGATGCCGATGGCAAAGAAGTAGTGGTCCACTACACAGCTGGGGATCAGGGTTTCGTTCCTGAGGGTAACAACATTCCGGAAGAGATTTCGGCAGCAGCTAAAGCCAATAGTGAAATACCAGCATCAACAACCATAGTTGAAGAGCCTAAAAGTTCTGACGACTCTGAAGAGGATGACATGTTCCGAGAAACTGCACAGATAAATATGGTACACTAGAGTGAGTTACATACATCTTTGACTTATTTTTAATATATGCCAACTAATATTTATTCATTTGTAGAAAACACATCGAAATCCATAGAAATCAGAATCAATCAGGCCACTCGGCCACCGTTTCGCAAGAATTGCAAAACAAAACCTACTCATGCCACCTATGTACATACATCCATACAAACACAACAATAAACCCGACCACAAGTATTCGAAATTAATGATCAAAATCGATATGTATAATTGTATAAATAAATAAAGGAATGATTCTATTATTAGGAGAGCATGGAGAAATAATACAATGAATGTTTTTACAATTGCGCATACAGATATGGGTGTAGATACAGATACGAGAACGCAAGTTAATGTAGAATATAGATATACACGATACACAACCATACATAACTACAAACAGTTTACGTGCGTGAATAGATTAATATGTCTAAAACTAAATAACTATAATTGTTCAACTGGGTCTTGAAGAAATTTCAGCGGGATGGGCAAACGCAAATAGATTATTTTGTAGCGTTCGTGGCGGATGCCGCAGTTGCTGATTCGGACGGCGAACTTAATTGTTGACGAAAATTGAACGGACCCATTGATTTTCGCTCTTTTATGCGTTGCTGCAAGGCCTGCAGCAGTCCTATTAGGACATCGTGGTTGGGTATCTTTTTAGCAAAAAGTAGTCTCTTTACAGAATCATCGTACGTCAGCAAAGCCACCATATTCTGCAGTAGGAACCCTTGACAAAATTCTAAAAGTTTATTGGCGCTGTAAACCTGTAGGACGGGAAATAGACACAGTTAGAATTTCACGTTGTTGTGGGAAGTTGACAGCGAATTATAGATACCTTGGCATGAATATACATGGCAACCACATTGTCGATGTCTATCATTTCCGAACACCTGGATTCGGTGTATCGTAGAAGACCTTCCAATTGAAAAAAACTGGCTGCGGCCATTAGTTCCAGTACGTCAGTCTTCGAGACGTCGAGGTTAGTGCAGCCGCCACTATATAGATATTGCATTACCAATTGGAATATGTGATAGCGAATGTCGTTTATCTGCACCGTAGGGATGCTGCTATCGCTCAATTTCGAACTAAGCATGCTCTGGAATCGCGGCGAAGCTGTGACCAACACAATCTTGTGACCATAGAACAGCTTGCCCTCAACCCTAAATTACATAGAATGAAAACAAACACACACACAATCACCCATATATTGTAGAGCATTAGGTAATGGGTACGACTAAGGACTTGCCTGAAAATCACGTCACTCAACTCTGGATTGTTAACGAATTTGGGATCAATTCGAGAACTGTTAATGGGCTGCGACGAAGTCTCCTCAATCGGTTTAATCTGTTGCCAGCCATAACAGGTGGCAAATATGTCCGCCAGCAACAGTGTTGTGCCCTCATTTTTACTATATCTGAATATGTTGAAAAGCAGGGGCAGACACTCGCTAACAAATTGAACACTGTAATCATCGGGACAAACTTGAAGGAAATCCTGCAGAAGTTGATCTATGACACCCTCCAGGCGCAATTCGTGTGCTGCTGCCAAAGCGTGCATCCAACAATGCAGTGTCCATGGAACACCCAATGTTCTCAGTTCAATGGTGATATCTAAAAGTAAATAGTTTAAGATATTCAAGGCCATATATACACCTATAATCTAGTATAAATACCCAAATGGTTGTTTTCCGCACTGTGGTACATGGCTTCTTGCAGACTCTTAATTTGGGTTTTGCTGAGACTTGTGGCAATTTCACTGCTGGACAAACGCTCAGCAACAGGTCGTGTGCTGGAACTATCGCCCTCTGCTAGCATTTCTTCCAACGACAAAACATCTTTAGAACCCTGTGAAATCGGTGTGTATAGTAGCTTCCGTAGAACAGAACGTTGGCCGTGTGCGGCTGCCACAGATATGGCACAATAACAACCTCGTTGAGCTGACCCAGCAAAACTCATAGAGTCCTTTTGCTGTGTGGATAGAAAGGCGTTCGCTCCGTGCAGCAGCAAAAGAGACACTACCTCAATATTTCCGGATCCACACGCTACTTGCAACGGTGTTAGGGTATGTTTGTCTTCGCTTTGTCGGGCGCCTCCTTCCACTTTTCCTCCGCGTTCTAATAAGACACGCAACGCGACATAATTGCCTCGGCTTGCTGCGAATGTCACCGCCGTCCAATGCTGGGTGTCGGGGTGTATGGCGGGATAGTTTGGATTTCCAATAGCTGGTACCTCAATGTTAGGCTCACAGCCAGCATCAAGGAGGGCTTGAATTACTACGTCATCGTTGCGAATACTAGCGATCATCAATGCAGTCATACCTGCATGGTTGAGGGTATCATAGCGGGTCGTGACAGGTAACAGATTAGAAGCTTGGGCTAAAAGCTCTGCTCTTCCAGTCAGCATTAGCTTGAACGCTAACGCAATCGTGGCTCGTTTTCCCAAATCCGTGGTGTCCTCGCACAGGCTGGAGGGCAATGTTGTGGGTAAATGGGGAAAATGCGACTTCTTGGTAGTTAGTTCTTCGTCGCTGCACACTGAACGCATTGGACAATCTACACCCGGTAGGAGAAGTCTGGCCGCTTGCATTATATCGTCTTTATCGATCATAACCGAATTTCGGTACTCGGCGTGTGCTGATGCGACACGTAACCATTCGACCAAGGGTGGCAGAACTACGTATGCTCTCTCGTAACACAATTCCTGAATGTTTTGGGTGCTATTGGCGTTGTTGCCGCTCGCTCCAGCTAATTGCTGTCCCGTGAATTCGCTGTGTTCCAACTGGGAACATCTCATAAAATAGAATAGGGCAGAGAGGGCAGCACTGGAAATGGAACATTGTTGGAATTTCTGCTGTGCTCTTTGGGCGAGATCCTTCAGTTCCGAAATGCTGCCTACGCATGTTGTTAGCAAACACTCCATTGCCACATTGGTGCTTCCACCCGAAGAACCACTCCTATGTGTACCAGATCCCAGTGATGATTGGCTAGCCCATCGCGGCATAGTCAATGCCCCCGAAGCTATTCGTCCTGCGTTAAGGTGGGCAAACGGCTGCAAAAGACCCCACATATCGGCAGATAGTGAGATTGCATGTTCTAGGGCAGCAGATGTTAACTGCTGATTTGAATCGGCGGGGAAACATTGAAGTAGTATCTCTTCCAGGAGATTTTCCATGCCAGCACAAAGATATACGGCAGCGTACTCATGAATGAATTTTCCCAGTCTGGAGTCCGTCATCCATCGGTGGAACCTTCCCACTGACAATTGTATACCAGCTCGAGACGATTTACTTTGCTTAAGTGCGCTGTCACCCGGAACAGCGAACATGGCAGCCGCACGAAGACATGCCTTAATGCAGGAGTCAGCCAGGGCCGGACAGAGCACTATTTTAAAGGCGCCGGCAACTTCTTGTTTGGAGCAAAGACCTAGGTTCGAGGAAAGTCTCTGTATCTCCCTGGCAATGCGCACCAGAGCTCTCTGCAACAAATAGCCCAAACGAGATAAGGCATCGGGCGCCACTCGATCTGCATACTCCTTACAACGTCCGTCTCGCATTACTTTGATGATGCACTGTTGGCTCCAAGGCGGATGTTGCAATTCCACCAAACGATTATGAGAGTCCACCCAGACAAACTCATCGGCACTGGTTACATTAGTATTCACTGTTTCTAAGGAAGCGTAACGGCCCAGGCGTCTAGCCGGCTCCGAGCTTTCCGAACTTATGCTGCTGTAAGTACTGGTACTTGTTTGGGACCTCATGGTTAGTTGTTGTATTGCTAATTTGATATCTTCTAATCCATTGCCACTCCAAGGTGCTTTCGCAGGTGTAGCCCGGTGCCTTGCTCGTGAATGGTTAGTTGTCGTTCGAGAGCGAGTACTTCGATTAGTGACTACTGCAGCCAAACGATCCTCTGGTAGTGGACACAAGGCTACGCCACCGGGTGAGGAACTGCCATGTCCACCAGTATCCGACATACTAGCGTGGCCCGATGATCGATTCTCATCCGAGGAACTGTGACACTCCTTTACACGTTCCAAAGCACGAAACTCGTGATGATGAGTGCGCGTCGGATGATTTCCTTTCGACACATTGCTTGGACTTGACTGATAACTGCCCTCAATCGGTATACCAATGGCAGCCGAACTATAGTCAAAGGCGCTTCGATCCGAGCACTTTGTTGTGCCACACGTATTTGATGGCTGTTGAGATAGGCTGCCACTTAGCATGGCCGGTTGTGACCTCACCGGTGTACTTTGAGCAGTCAGCCGAGAAGGGCCCGATATAGCCCGTTGCGGACCCAACTTGCCCAAATTGTTGCCATTTTGTGATCCTAATGCTCTCATGTCCACCTTCGTTTGGCCATTTTCCAAATGCGTAGGACTATAGGTAGATAAGGCCGAGGCACTGGCCACGCTATGTCCACCTAAATTAGACAGTGGACGTTGTGCGACTTCCTTGGGTATCCGAGGAGCCGGCGTTGCCACAGCCGGGCTGTGAATGCGTACGGTGCTCGTAGAGCAGTTCTGGAAGCCACTTGCATTTATCTGGCCCATATTAGCGCTCGAAGTTGACGTCGCCGGTAAACCAGATGTATATGAAAACGGAGCGCTAGTTCGTTGGCTGCAAAAATCGGGACGTATGTTACCAACAGGTCTGCAAATATACATTGGTTCGGATATATTATTACACAACATATAATTTTACACACCTAAGTCTTAAATTATTCCTTAATCAACAACACATTTTCCAATCTCGGACGTGGTTACGAACCTCGGGATGTGTCAAATATTTGTATGATAACGTGTTATACGCTAAATATTTATGATCAGTGGCCCCTCTTCGCACGTTCCTACTCTTCAAATCATGCTGGAAATGCGTTTAATATCCGCGAACAACAAATAAAAGTAGGAAGAGGTGTGAAATCAGTTGATGCGTCTGCGGATTTCGCATACACCGAACGAATCTCTTCCAATAATTATGAATTTTCCAAATGAAAAATACATCAAAATAACCACCAATTTTAAAACGATTTTATGAGAGCCGTAAGAACCATCATTTATTTTGGATAAAATACGCATGCTTTACAGGCTTGTATGTGCGTAGAATCAAATCGATTATATCGCGAAATTGTCAAAACACCTTTTGCAGATTTTCCAGCTTTGTATGGACTCACATGCCCTGTTTTTGGGTGGATATGAGCATGGCAATGCTGATTAGATACGGCTCACGATACAACTCTTTGAGTGCACTAAATAAAACGTTTTATTACAGTTGAACAAATGACCAAAATTGGTTACGGTTGAAAGACAACTACGAAACCCCGGTTAATAGAGTACGGATATTTGTTATATATCCAGTATTTCATAAGTTCTACATTCTATCAATAGCCGATATTACTATTCAAAGAATGGAAATGAATACACGTTGTACAATGGAACAAAATCTCCTCATCGTGTCCAAGCATATATCTTCGCTATAAAGTCGCATATTAGCTCGCTCATTATTTTAACACAGACCAACAATTAAACGTAAGCAGGTTGTCGCACATTCTACCACGAACGACCAAGTGAAGTCAGGGTACACTGTCAAAGTTATACCAAAACACAACGAGCAATGACCACAGCCTATTCGTCCAACATTTTGGACGTTGAACAGTGGAACAAAATATCTTCATCGTGTCCAAGCATATATTTCTGCTCATTAGTGTATCATAAACCAACAGCAGTTTGTTGCACATTCCACCCAGAAAAATTCAGTCGGAACGGCAAAGTGAGGACAGGGCACAACGACAAAGTTATACCGAAAAAAACGAGCGATGGACACAACTCCCATTCGACCAAAATTTCGTTTTCTACTACACGAACAGAACGCCTCATAATTATGTACATCTTTTTATTGGGCTTGTTTGTCTAATCCAAACAGACAATAGAACTCTTTCTTTTGAGTTCTTTGTTTTGTTGTCTTGATCTAACTGTTCTCTGACTCTGCTTGGGACAATCAAATTTAAATTATGTCACTGCCGTCCCAAGCAGAATGCGCGAAACAGTGGCATATATCTACCATCTTTGCTTGTCTCTACTGTAAACATGACCGACAGAGGTGTCTGCATTAGCATATGAAGAAACTGTTAAATTCTTTTACCGTTCAGTGTGTTGTTGGGATGCCTTTTAATAGTTAACATGCCCATTAAAATTCAGAATTCTTAATAAACAATTTTTTGAGCGGATGTGTATTCGCTACCAATCTGAATTACATGAAATCGGTCACAAGAGCCACTGGAATTTGATGTCGTTGTTCAAAGCAAATCAGGTGAATGGAACTGAGTCCAACATATTAAATTGATGTGCAAAGCGTATAATAAAATTAATAACAGACAAAATTGCAATCATTACGGGCCAAAGTGACAATTCCATCTGGGAATGTACAGTTACGGGGGAAAGGGGGCATGTGAACTATGAAGGTATTAAAAAATATATAAAAAAGTTGTCAGTGCAATTCCTCATTCTTTATTACCGTGCTCGCCAGCCTTGGACGAAACTCCAATCGCCAACACCAGCTTCCGCATCATCCTCATCGCTTTGGTAGCGACCGTCATCGTCGTCATCATCTTCTGTTGGATTGTCCTCATGATCTCTTGGTTTGCCCACAAGGGCTTGGCAAGGCCTGGACACCTTGTCGACTAGAGCAGTAGCCTGCTGATAGTTGCCTTCAATCTTTATATTGATTACACCATTCTGCACACTCTCAATGTAGGGTGGCAGCTCAGAGTGCATTGATGTGATCTCATTCTGCATCTGCGAAATGAGATCGCTGGTATTGAGTTGCAACGCAAGTGGCGTCGGTGTCGGTGACACCGCTTCATCTGTACTGGCCTTGTTGGAGCGGTGAGCTAACGAATCGCCAAAGTAGATTACAACCTTGTGGTTGGGTTTGGGCGGCGTTTGTGGTTTATGGTCTTTCTTTCCGTTGCTGCGAGTTGACTGGGGTGAAGGCGGGGCTTGTGTCACAGGTGTAGGTGATGGTGTTTGGGTTTGGCGCTGACAGAAGTCATAGATCTGGCCAATATCACGTTGTTGGCACATTTCGCTACATTTCAACGACTGTGGTTGAAATGTTTTGATTGAGCTTGTGACCCGCCGACGCAAAATAAAGTTCTCATTCAGCCGGCCCAATATTGATGATGTGAGGGGGGGTCGAGGTGCAGGTTTCTTAACACCCTTTCCCGGCCGAAATCCCCTCAATTCTCGGCATAAACTACAATTACAGTCTTTGGTGCAATACATTATGTTTTGTTCGGTAGTTTCCGCAGTCTTTGGTCTATCTGCTTCAACCTACACACACTCGCTCAAGCTGGAAAATTCTCTAAATACACATAGTTCACATTTCCGAACGGTTTTTTACATTCGTGCCGCATATCCACCATCGGCGGATGATGTAGTACACCCGCCACTTGCCTATAACGTGTGCTTTGTTACCGCTCTTTGCTATTTTGTAAATATTGAATTTAATGTCGAATTACGTTCCATTCATTAATTTCGATTATTACAACACTTCCTGCAGACACACTTCACTAGTAAACGACTGTTCCAAATACAAATCGAAACTACGCTATAGACCGACGATAACGAAATACCAGATGGTCAGAGTGAAAATTTTGAAAACTCGGTAGAATTTGTCGTTATTATTTCTTTTCGTTTCGCTGTTTGCAAGTTCGGTCGTCATACACGCAATTGTCTATGGGCATTTTCCGCGGAGGTCTAGCAATGATAACCTCGGAAAGACTGACGCTCACGAACGATGTCTGAATATTGTTGTATACCAGGTTTTCTCTTCCTTCCACGACAACCGTTCATGACCAGCAGTAAAATGAAACTGAAACTTTATTGCGGCCTAACAGAAGCATGACTTCAATTTTGATGTGGATGTTTGCCAGGTATTTGAAGTTAGATCTTTCGCTATTGAACGCAGCTGCCACAGCCGGGCCTTGCCTGTAAGACGATGAGCTGCGCTGCGCAATGCTGCTGCTGCTGCGTAACATACTAGGCGCTTCAACAACAAATCACGGTACATGAGTGGCAGTCTGTTTGTCTGACAGTCAGTTTTCGGATACTAGCTTTTCAAGCCATCTTCTTGACTTGAAGACGGGCCTTTGTTTCGCAAAGAAAACAAAAATGTTAGACAAACAATAGCGAGAGTATAACTGAAAATGCAAATTGATGTGTAAAGTCTACAACATCCAGATCCACACATACACAGCCACGAGTATACGCTTGAAGAAGGTTTGTTTTCTTCCAATCGTACCAAACTATAATTATGAGGGTTCTAAACTCAATTTCAGAAATAGTAAATACTTTTGTTTTCGAATAGAGGGACCCGACAAAATGCTGCATGTGATGGTTAATAGCATAATTATGGAAGGTATGGAATATATATATATATATATATATATAATGTATCTCATTATATATATATATATATATATATATATGGGAACCACAAGGCAAAAAAAAATCAATGTAAAAATATCTAATTTTTTTCATGCATATTGTCCTCAAGATATGTATAACTATGAATGGTACAACTTATATTTATGGATTGTAGAGACAGGCAACTTCAAAATATTAAAAAAATATTAATGCTTTCGGAATTATTGCCATTTAAATTTTGAACGCTGAATGCTGTCAAATGCACCATTTTACATGATGGATAAATATTGGATTTCTCTTGCCGATAAAATATGGCACATCTTCCCATTTTATACTCTTATTTGTGCATTTGAAGTAATATCGAGCCATATTCGCCAAAAAAAACGTAACCCTCAAATTTGAAATTTTACAGGAGAAGGTTTGTTTTAATAAATTCGGATTTAATAAAGATACTATTTTGCAATTTAGAACTATAGTTTAATATAAAACTAGTTTATAACAAAAAATAGTTATAAACTTAAAAATAATAGCTTTATTTAATCTGAATTTATTAAAACAAACCTTCTCCTGTATAATTTCAAATTTGAGGGTTACGTTTTTTTGGCGAATATGGCTCGATATGCTTAAGAAAACGGTTGATAGATTAGAATAGCGTTTTAGGATCGATTCAGCATGGCCGCACGTTAGTCATTACCCATTTAATTGGCCTTACTGAAAAAAAGTGAATTTTTGTTCCGATTAAAAAAAATTATTTTTGTCCAATTTCAAGTAAATAGCAACCATAGACCCAAAGTATATCGAGTTTACTCTAAATAGGTTCAGAAATGTGAAAATGGGATATAATTGTACCATGATAAATAGGGTACGATAGACACTACATCTGACACTTTACACGGAGAATTGCATAACTCCCGACTTGAGGCTAAAATGACGGGCGTTGAGATTTGCTAAAATCGATTAAAAAAAACTAATATAGTTCAATAACATATTAATATTGACAACTGTAGGAGTTGTTGGAATATTTAGTCCATCATTGTTGTGGTAGATGATTTCATATGTAATTTCGAGACATACACAATATATTCTACTATGGCCCAAATATCAAGTTATCCATGAGGTGCAAGGTAAAATATTTAAAATCAATGGGGACTTTTATATAGTTGTTATGGGATGGTAAATTAATACAAGAGAGAATGAAATATAAAACGCAAAGTTAAAAACGTTACTATAGCCTATATAATAGGTCATTCAGTAAGGCATCTGATGGCCTTACTGAATGAACTAATATACCTACATTTTTTTTTCAAAATATATGAAATTCGAAAAATTACCGTAGTTAGTTTTGACAAAGACATTGATATAATTTTCAACTTGTTTCAAAAAAATATCCTAACAGCCCTACCTAAAATTCAACTAGCTCGTTCGACGTTTTTCACCACAATAGTAGAACACATGTATTTATATGAATGTTACCGAAAAACGTCGAGCGTACAAAATTTCAAGTTGAACAATTTCAAATTTGACAGGACGTATTTTTTTTTTTTTTGTTGAAATTAAAAACAAAACATTCAGAAAATATGAAATTTCGAATGTGAACATAAAATATTTGGATTAATTTAATAAATTTGCAATGTTATTATCCGGTTTGTGTTATTCGTTTGAAGATATGGATCCGACGTATTTTGGTAATACGGCCGTACACAACATTTTGCAAAAGTGGGGAAGTTGCATTTTTCTGTACGCCCCGTCGGATTATAGGTAACGTTGTAACATACACAAAATGTTTATCAAATGTGGTGAAAAACAAATATTTGTTTTGATAAAATCAGTGCTGTGTTTAAATTCTGTTTTACGCGTTCAAAACGTACAAAATAAATCGTTTTTTTTTTCAAAGATATTTTCGACACAACAACAACTTTTGATATAAATGGTCTGTTTCCGTACTGCAAGAATCTACTAGATTTTACTATTTTCTTCGATATCATAAAGGAAAATTCGTTATCGTAGTAAAAAGTAGTAGATTCTTGCAGTACGGGAACAGACCAAAAGTGTAGATACAGGGTTGTGTATTTCCTGAAATTCACCTTCTGGATGACCAGTTATTTGGGCCTTGGTATGTATCACAGCCTTACCTAAAATTCAACTAGCTCGTTCGACGTTTTTCACCACAAAAGTAGAATACATGTATTTATATGAATGTTACCGAAATACGTCGAACGTACAAAATTTCAAGTTGAAAAATTTCAACTTTGACAGAACGTATTTTTCATTTTTTCTTTTGTTGAAAATAAAAACAAAACATTGAGGAATTACGAAATTTCGAATAGAGACTTAAAATATTTAAATTAATTAATTAAATTTTTAATTTTATTTTGCGGTTTGTATTATTCGTTTGAAGATATGGATTCGACGTATTTGGGTAATACGGCCGTACACAACATTTTGCCATAGTGGGGAAGTTGAATATTTTTGTACGCCCCGTCGGATTTTAGGTTGTCACAACGTTATCTAAAATCCATCTATCCATTTCAAATTGTTTGAAAAATAAATTCCATAAAATGTTATGCATGTCCAATGGCATATTTTATTAAAAAATATATAAATCTATATATAAATCTATACTTTCTAACTATAGTTATTTTTTGAATTCAATATATTTTGACAAAAAAAAAAAAAAAAAATCAGCTGGCTTTACTGGCTGACCTATTATATAGACCTTGCAATGTATACTATAATTTTTTATTAAAATTCGAATCAAAACAATATATTTTGAGGGGAGAAAATAAGTTATCAGCTGCCCTTACTGAATGGTCCAACCACACATATGCTTGGCTTCAAAGCAACAGCAAATTTTGAAATGCAGATTGTAAATAAATGGCACTAGTTGCAGACCCAAGGGATAATGGCTTGCTTAAGTATATCTTCATTTTCCACTAAACGTTAATTTCATGGGGACACTTTCTTTTTGGATACACAATTGCTAATTTTAGTGATTGTTCGTCTCTTCTTCTGCTGCTGCTCGATGTCGTTTCCTTTTATTGTTTTTTGAGTCAATTATGGAAAGAAATAATAATTAATTTATTATACAACCGAGTTAAACCAAATAAGTATGGCTCGGTAACTGGCTGGCTGGTTGCTTCGTCGGTCGGTCGCACTTGCTATATCAAATATGAATTAAAGTCCAAAGCAGGGGGAGGGGGCAAGACAACTCTGCTCTGTGTACAGGGAAACAAATGTGATAGTAATTAAACCGAAAAAAGTACACGGCAATATTTTACTGTGAGAATACCCGTCGTAATGTCGACCGTATAACACAAAACAAAAGTACAGGTTATTGTTTTAGAAAATTTAATGTTTTGTTTGCGTGAAAAGTTTTGGATAAGCAAACAATGAAAAGAAAAGTGTTGATAATAAGCACTTTTTTCTCTTTGTCTTCGGCAAGTTCGTTGATATGTACAAGATGACCTGGCCGTGCGGCGACGTTCAAAATTCCCTCCGAATGTTGTGGTAGGTTATATGTTGCACAACAATCACATTAAAGGGTGTAAATGACAAACCCGTTGCTGAGAGACATTTTCAATAATTACCTCCCATAATTACTTCCGACGTTAGGAAATTTGTCATTAAAAGAATGCCAAAGAATGAAAGTAGGAGTCGGCAAAGCCACTACGTACAACGAAATATCAGTGTTCCAAGACCAACCAATGCATAATTCAGTTCACAAATTATACACAGAGCTGGCAAATTTACTTAGGCTAGAGGTACATGGAGGGCAATACTGTGGTTAGGGTTCAGGTTGACGTTGCAGCATGCTTGCAGAATGAACTTGCACAAACATGACACGACTGATATGGAAAAGA